AACCTTCCTTATGTACACAGAAAACATATTAATAAAGACAAATTACACCTAACTATTTCATAATAAGTTTTGAAATATTTTGTCACTGAAAAACAAATTATTTAAAAAAATACTTAATCAGCGTTTATCTATTTAACTTATTTTTTATGAATAGTGTTAAGTAGCTCTGCATTTTCACTATAACATGAATAGGTTATTTAAATAAGAATAACAAATAGTAACAAATTACAAACTGAGATACCTTTTATAATTTTATTTGATTTTTTAAAATGTAAATAACATTACTTTGTATTAGCTTTCGTAATGCTTATATATATATATATATATATATATTAGGTATCTATACATTTAGTAATATAAATTATAATATATAATTAAGTCTATTCACCGATATGTATTCAGTTTTTTTAGTTCCTACTCGTTCAACAAAAATACAAAAATACAGTACGAGTAAACCTCACTATATAATATATAGACAAATTAGAGATCTATTTGTGTTAGACCTTGATCTTAATATTTGTACTTTTTTTTTTGTACTTAGTATTTTTAGATATGCTGTATTTGTTAATTAGTGGAATAAAACATATCATTCTATGAATGAAATAAGTTTTAATATTATGATAATAGTTTATAAACAATCACAGAATTTCACAATTTGATTCGCAACAATTTATGATTTTACACAGTAGAAATACTTAAACCTGAATATATTTTTGATGGTGTTACAAATTACAATTTTGGTTGCGCAGAAATGGAAATAATTACAATTTTAAAAGTTATGAAATTGTGCGAAATACATACAAATATAATGATACCAAAAATTACTGTTAAGATATAAAAAAAACGAATCAACAAAAACATATCCAATACTGTCTCATTATTCAATATTCGATATCAAAACTTATTTTTGTTTTTATTATTAACAAGGGAATTCATGTATAACTCATTAACTATTATTAAACTTCAAAGTATATAATTTCATCTTTACGTTCGATAAATTTACATAAAATAACACAACTAGGATCCATACCTATTTTATACTTGGTGATTGGTGTCTTCATTTAATTACATTATTTTAATATAATTTTTCATTTCTTCCTGAGACTCATTTATTCCTTGCAAATTATACGGGTTTCATAATTTATAACACTTCATCTTTGTAATCAATTATTTGTTTTAATTCCTCATTGACTTTCAATATAATATTTAATATACAATTATTATTTGTGTTTTAGTTTATTTTAATAAGAACACTTGTTCAGCTTAATTATTTATAGCAAACGGGGTAGCGGTCCAGTCCAATATGATGTATTATAAAAACAATTACTACAGATTATGTGGTATAACGCGTATGACTTATATACATATAAAAAAAAAATGTTTATAGTTTATTAACTGTTATAAAAATTAATGATAATTAATTAGATAATTTGTATTTCGTGTATCGGTTATAAATTACTTTTTATGTGACTTAAATTATTTTTGTATTTTGCTTTTAAAATGAAAAAAACCATTAACTATTATAAATAAAAACGTTATCATTATACATAGATTTATTTTATAAAATGTGGTACATTTCGAATGCCCTCAATTGTGAGAATTATGTTGCGTATCATCCAATCCCAACCCTTTTTGTCACACAAAATTTGGAATTATGTGAGAATTATATAGCACGAATATTGTATAAGGGTTTTATGAATTTCATTTTATTTCATATATTTGGATTTTTCCTAAACAAAAATCAAGATTATTATTTTAAATATTTTATATGACTGTTTAATTTTAGTTGACTGTATATATTATACCTATATAATAAAATCAATTGCAATTGTAATGCTTATTAAATTCAATAATAAAAAAAAAATGTATATAGTTTCTAGTGACTACCTATACCTATTAATTATTATAGTAATATATTCAGATTCATTATATTTATATATAACCGACGATAAGGTAAATTATAAATCACAAATTTTGCTTTAAGTTTTATACTTCATTACATAATATTATCTAAAAAAAGTATCATACAAATATACAATACATTTTCAAATACAATTCACCAAAAGTTTAACAGTTCAATTTTTCAAGAAGTTTACTTGTCCTATAATAATGACAAGATTGATACATTCAATTAAATACTTAAAGGTGAAAACTACAAAACACCAACAAAAAGTTTTAAATTTGATGTATACACAATATATATGTATTTTATCAAAAAGGATCAATAATTTTAAAATATACTGTATAGGGAAATAATCAAATTTAAAGACCATTAAAATAATAAAATTACCACTTATCAATCACATTAATTTAATTTCAAATAAGTCTATTGCATTCATTGATTTTTTTTAACTTAGTTATTTCCACTTATTAAATACTCCTTTATTATTTTTTAAACTATCTAACTAAATGTGTTTTTAACTGAATTATATATTTAATATATAAATTTCACATGTTTTCAAGTATAAAATTTAACCAATATGAATATAACTACGAGACATTTTTATTTATTATATAAAATAATATCATAGTTTTATACTAAAAAATATGCCAATTTTTATATTTTTTTTAATTATAATAACTTAACATACACAATTTCGCGAATACAGAAATATTATAGTATATCTTCTAAGTATTCAAATATGAATATTGCATTACATGCACTTATATGTATGAATCATATGCATTTTTATATGTCTATGACAAAGTTTACTTATACTTTAATGTTATGAACATATTTAGGTAGTGTATTCCTATTAACTAGGTAGTTAGGGTAATGCAGATTTATCATTTTAATTAAAATATAATATATTTTAAAGCCATTACTTGCTATTATACATACAGATGACTACATAACTAACCCTTTTATGTTGAGGTCTAGTAGGTATTTAGTAGTGATTATTAATCTTAATTATGGAAAGGAAAATATGTGTTGTTTTGCTTGTACTTGTAAATTTAACAATATATGATATTATGCGAGGTATGTTTTAATTTTTAATGTAAAACAGTTTTACTTTTATAATAGAGACATAACTAAAGAAGGAAGACGTTTTAAACACAATTTCGCTTAGATTATATGATATAAAAAAATAAAAATAAAATTATTTTATTAAATATTACCTAATAACTTTGATAGCTTAATAGTATTAACTTTAATCTAATAATGTTATTAAATAAAATTGTATTACATTAATTTATATTTACTGGCGTCGTCTTGAATACTATATTATTTAGCACACAAACGAAAAATAATAATGACCCTAAAATTGTCTTAAATACAGCTATTATCAATGGTAAATGCTGCTATGTTTAATGATAATTTTTAATTTGTTTTTAATAAATGTCCATTGCAAAGAAAAAACTTTCAAATTGAATGACTTTACTTCAACATGTAATAATAGAACTAAGATATTGAGTTTTTATTTTAATATATCGAGCAAAAATGTCTACACCTTTCATATTTTACACAGTACATATAGCCATATAGGTTATAAACTTATAACTATCTAGTATTTTTATGTTGACTTAGTTCATAATTAATTCAAAAAATGCATGTCCTTGTCAATATGTGTACAAAAAAGCAAATTAACATATTAATTGTCAAAGTAGATTTACTATTAAAATTAAGTTTCATTGTCCTCCTTTTATATATTTTACATTTTTATTAGTGTCTAGAGCTAACTAATATTTTCATTTATTTATTGCCATTTTCCCCACAGAACGAATTTATATTATACACCTAGCTTATCCTCATGGTATATACAGAAGTTATAAATTATCACTTTGTAGTGACTTTCAATTTTAATTAGGGATAAATTCGTAAATTGTATATTCAATGAAACGAAACGAGTTTTGAGCAATTATTCAAAAAATGAATGAATTAAAGTAATGTAATAATTTAAATCTCAAATAATACAACTAATATGTCATCCATATAATACTACAATATAGGTATTGTTGTTTCGTAAATATCGATTATTCCGAATACTCATATTGACCATTTCTGTGATTTAATCTGGTAAAATACAATTAAAATGTTTTATCTGTTCTAGTCGTACGTAATATTATAATACAAAATTATGCTTTCGGTGAGCATTAAACAAAAATAATTGGTCAGAAATATGGAAACGTTGTATTGCATAATTTTTTGCCAAAATAATTGGGTTTCGATAATGCTGTCGTCAATATCACTCCAAATAATTTAAATTCATATTTGTCGTCCCAATTATTATTATTAGTCACTTAAAATGTTTTAGCCAATGCTTGTGTTTTATGCAGGAATAATTAATTAATTGTCTATGTCCATTATTGCCAGAGCGATGAGGAACATAATAATAGTAAAAATAATACTAATATAATATAGTAGTATCAAATACTGCATCGAGATAATATTATAATATTATTTAGCGTTATACAGAGTGATCGTTTAAAGAATATATCGAGTACCTTTGTTAAGTATAAAATATATAATAATATGTATACTTTTTAGTTGTTCAGTGTACATGATTAACGATTTTACAATATGAAAAAGTGGGTAACTGCACTGCACTAAATAAGAGCGCGAGACATAAGTTACGGTTACTCAACTAACCAATTAATAAATGAACCTACTAATTAACAGGAAAATAAGTCAAACATAATATAATCGTAGTTACCTAAATGATATAAATTACGTATAATACCTTGCAAGACATTAGACAGAACGAAACGTATACTACACAGCAGCGATGTCCCAGATCTGTACTGATATTAACTGTCTCAAATATAATATTCTTAGCTATAATATATGAGGTGTATAAATATTCTTATAATTGCTATTATAAAATATATACAATTATTATGATACCGCTTTTCTACTACATCTATAGGTATTAAACATTTTGGTATACTACTACTACTACTACTACCACTACTACTGCTACTACAATAACTACTAACAGCGCCTAATAAAAATTACGACGTGTATAATAAATTAGGTATATAATGTAATATGTACATACGTTGATCTTTCCAAAATGGCTTCAGTCTCTTTCAATCTGTAAAAATCGAATATAAAAACATAGGTAATATTTTTTTGTCTAACTGCAGCTAAAATGTCTTTTTTCTTTAAACGTAGTGGTGGGTATAAGGTGGGACGAGGGTAGGTCAGTTTGAGGTCGTGAGCGGGTTTGACACTGGAGGCGTGACGTACCTACCTATATAATATAGTAGCGCACCACCAGCGCGTGTATTGACTATACCGCCGGGGATCTGGCCGGATGTGTAACCCCACGTCACTCACCCTCTCGATCGGAAACGTACTCGTGGTGAAGTATTCCGGAGAGTGTTGTGTCGGGCGGGTAGGGAAAGAAACTACGATTCACACACGGCCTAGTTCTGTTTAAATACGCTCTCAAAAATCTCTCTGTTTATGTTGTTTAACCAGGCGCCCACGGGTATGTACCTATATCGGCAATCTGCATTGTCGGAAATAAAATTGCGGCGAACTCGTGGGTATTGACTATTGATGACAACAATAATACTATTAAAAATACATGAAACCTCAGACCGTTCGATTTTCATCTATAGTTCTTATATGATGCGACTTCCACGATGGTGGGTGATGGTAACGATATCAATCGACCTCGAAGAAGTCACACCATCGCGCATCGCACCGACGTTTGTACAAAGAATCGAAATATTGAAAAATGCCACAAACACATACATACACACACACACACACACACTCCAATGATGTTATTATTAGTATGGTACTCTGAACAATTTTTTGAATAGAATACTGTGTATTGCTGTTAACGAGTTCAATTCACAATTTGCAGAGGTAGAGCAGCAAGCAAAAGCAATGACGCAAGTACTGTGGTTAATAATATTATTTTAAGAAATTTGAATTTGAAAGTTCTATAGTCTTACGCAGGTTTTTTTTTGTCTAGATATATTATTCAATCATAATATTATTATATTTTGGAGTTGATGCTCTCACCACAATACCAGGGGATTATATACAATATAATATACACATTTATATAAAAGCTTATAGTTATGTTCATGACAAAGTATACTGCGTCGCAGTAAAGCCACGCCATTCGTCACTATATAACAGCTGGGTGACCACCCGGGTGTTTTGGTGACGTGCGTTGTCCTCGCTTATCCCCTCGTGAACTATGCTCCAATTATTATGCTAGCATGCTATCAATTTATTAATAGTTTATCTTGATGGAAAAAAATTGAGTTACCATTATTTATTTATTCGAATGAGTTAGTTCAAAAACAAAACAATATATAATATAAATGAAATGCTTATTTTTAAGAAACTACAAAACGAGGTTCATTGTTATTCAGTAGGAAAAACTAAAATGTTATACTTTTTAAAATAAAAATAAATATGTATTATAAAAACATAGCGCTTGGTTATTTTAGAAAATATTTGTATGATAAGTACCTACTAAATTATTTAGAGTTCATTAAAATATATAACTATGTTGATCAATGACAAAAAAACCGAAATGACACATTAAAAAAAAAAAAACAATTTATTAATTTTTATTACCTGCTTATCTACTTGCAATAACAGTTTATTATTAATATTAGTAATAGAAAGGGCGGATATAGGGGAGGCCACTAGGAGGAAGTGCCTCCCCGTTCACAAAGAAAAAATATTATATATAATATTTTATATGATTTTTATGTAAGTGCCCCTTCTACACAGAGATTCTGGATCCACCCTCGGTAAATAGTAATATTATTATGTCGTACCTATATGCTATAATATTAAACAAACTAAATTGATGTAATAATAAAAAAAAAAAAAGTTTTTCTTAAATTATTTATAGTATTTTGTTGTCAGTTAAATACATAATGTCACTCGTGATAGCCATATTTTAAAGATATTTAATTTTATGTAAGTGTTTTTTTTTCTGTAACCAGTTATTGTAATTATGGATTGAAATATAACTATTCAGTTGAAACTTTCTTAAGAAAATATTATTTTTGACTTTCATCAAGATAAAATATGGTAGATGTATAACAATTATTTTGTATTATAAATGTGAATATATGATACACATTTTATTGCAGGATTGTAAAACATTGAAAGTTGTAAAATGTATTACTAAATGTATATATTTGTAATATTCAACGATTGATAGAAAAAAATGTATTATGTGTATTTATAGGGAACATAATTTAAAAACTGTAAACTCATCTAAATAAATGTTCCACTAAGTGAAATAAATGCAAGAGGAATTGGTTTTGTGACAATTATTTCCCCATTATTTTCCAAATTTCGAGTTCAATAAGAAATGTTTGAAAACTGAAAATTGACTTTGGTAGCATTCATGTTAAATTCGGTTCGAAATGAATAAACAGGGTTATTTTCGTTCATTATTCATAATACACTTATGGGATTTGTATAGTAAAAGTTGTTCATATAGTTCTGTACGTATTATAGGTCGTTTAATCATCGTTAATATAACATACCTACACATAATATTGAATATTAATTATTTTTTAATGTCCACGAACTAAATATTGTATTTATGTGGATAAAATCAATCGAGTATTTAGCTCAAAATAATAATTTATTGTATTATCCTTAAAATATGTTTTGATATAATGTAAAACAGAATTAATATAATAAAATTCAAGAAATTCAAGAAATAGATATAATTATAATATGCATAATGATGGTCCATCCATCGATATTAGGCACATGAACTTTAATTATATTATTGTGTTGGTATATACTATATATACTGCTTTATTAACTTACTAAATAAGTACCTATTATTTTTTTTTATTGTTAAACAAAAAGCTTTGATAACGTGACCATTGGCTTATTTTTACATGATATGTTAATAAATTATTATTTCTATGTTAAATGAGTAATTATATATTTTTTTAAAGTAATAAATAATATAAATTCGTAATTAATTATTTCTTGTAAACAACTTTAAAAAAAAACCCCGCACAAAAACTTTTATACAGGTAAATTATATTTTATTATACAATAATATTTAAATAAGATGACGTAAATTATTTTTTCATTTTTATGAGTTCAAGCAGCAGATACAACGGGTGAAAAGAAATAACTGGAAATAATCAATACAAAAAATTCAACTTAAAAATGTAATAAGGTATATATATTGCTTTATACAAATATTAACGGATTTCAAGTTTACTTGATTGTTTAATAATATTGACAAAAATTAAGAATTGTATTAGAATAAATTTATAGAAATATTTTTATTGGATATTATGATAGTGTTCATATTAGTCAACTTCATTAAGCTATATTATGCTAAAAGCAATTTTGTATTGTAGACATTGGCTGAACAAGTTAAAATAATAATGTTTTACATCTATGTTAATAATTGATTAATTAATCATGTTAAAAATAATTATGCACCTACATGTCACACAGGTTAACCTTAGAAATTACAAACACAAACTAATTAAATTAAATTTTGTATGATTCAAAAAACATTTGGATATCGTTCATGTGAACTCTAATTTATTTGAAGGAGCTGGTTCACATATTTTGAAATATTGTTATTTGTTAATGTGTACATATTATACCTACCTATTCACTTAATCATCAAACTAGGTACTGATTATTTGTATTCATAGCTAGTTTGAATACCTATAAATTATAATAATATTTTTGTAACCTTTATTTTTATTATTATAATTATATAACTGAGCTATATTTTTAGCATAATTTCTCTATATAGACTATATAATATTATTATAAACCATATAACTTATCATCAGGTACCTACACTGCATGTTAAAATATTTGAATACTTACAAAAACAGATTATAAAGAAAATAATACTCAGAGTTCGTTTTGTTTTAATTAATAATAATAATAACTTTAATCCACAAAAAAAGAATACTTTGTTAAATGTATGTTTTTAAAATGCATAGAATAATTCAGAAGTTTTTCAGTTCAATTTATTTCAGTCTTGGGCAAACATATTTCACGATATCATTATAAAAAAGGCCAGTCGTAACTACTCATACCAAAATGTTGAATTCAGGAGTTCTTATATATTTATACCGATAATAGAAATCAAAATAATTGTTATTGTTCAGGTTCTTTCGACAACAAACTTTAATTATTATGAACACAAAACAATTAACTAAAAGTTAAATCTCTAGGTATAATAACTTATGATTGTAAATACAAGTACCTATAAATGTTTAAAAATACATTTTTGATTGATTTTTTATTTTTATTTAAATACAACACAAATAACGATTTTAACCATACATCAACAATTGAGATTAGTTATAACTAATCAGAGCTGACCAACCTTTTTTTGCTGTTGAATGAAAGCAGATTTTTATGTTTTTATTTTTCGTTTACAAACTATCCATTTTCTTAATAATATTATGTTAGGTAACAAATAGTAATAGTCATTTTAATATCCAAGCAGAGGCTGTGCGCTAAAATCGTAAGTCGTGTAGTTAGGGTTGCATAACTACTGCAAAAAGGTGAGATAGATGCGTGATATTAATAATATAAAGAAAATGTTATATTATTTTATTCAATAATAAAAATTTCGACTAGGTGTGCTCGGTAAGCTCACTGCCAGAGGATTGCAGTTTTTACTTTTTTAATATTGTAAAAAAACTCCCGGCGGTACGTCAAACCTACGAAGCTTGCCCTGGTATTGATCGGCTTTCATCGCCGAACAATGCCATCTGGTTGAATTATAATGTGCGTTATTTAGTGGTCTACCGTCCCACTAGATGGTGTCTTAAAATTTGCTGGGCACATCCGTCCCATAGGTGGCACCACCGTGATGGATATAACATTATCACGTGTATTTTAATTTATTTTCGGAGGACCACAAGTGACACACGCTTTTAGTAATATTATGGTTGCCATATAATTAAATAAAATGTAGTTAGTACTTTTTTTATTTTTTATTTTTTTTTTTTTTGTTGATATGGAAAAATTTGTTATATACTTAATTGTTTCCGATCAATCATAAAACTTGGTATTTATTTTACAATATTAATTGAATGCTCATAATGTCCAATAATAATAAATACAATATTAATATTTAAAAATCAATCAAAATGGAATATTTTACATTTTATACGTTATAATTTATCATATCAACGATAATTAAAATTTATCTACATAGTGTATTATGCATTACATCATATTGTGTTTTGAATACACATGTATAATTATAGTTTTATTTTAATAAAACAATTTACACGAGCAAGTAACATTGTTCATTAAAATTGATTAATATACAAGCTGGGCATACCCGATCGTTTTAGTGGAATGTAATCTTGAAAGTCACATACGCTTGTAATTTCGATACAAATATGAAGCTATATTTTAATAATGCATTTACTAAATTAGTATTGAAATATTATTTGTTGACTAATTATTATATTATTTTCAGTGATCGGAACACGTGACTGGAATATTGATACCGAAAACTAATTAAATTAAAATTGAATTACAAGAATTATTTGCAATTAAATGTTATATAAAAACAACAACTACACTATGTTTTCAAGTTAGCATGAATTCCGGCGATAACAATTTATATGTCTAGTGGCTATAATTAATAGGTTAATAGTATAACCCTAACCCTAAAATGGTATTAATGAAAAATAGTTCGATACTTAGATCATTTAACGAGAATTACCTATACAGGAAAGAGAATAAACAACCAACATTTTGCTTTAAATAAAACATATGATAACTATTGAGAAACGAAAAGTGATGATAAAATAAATATTCAGTACTTCGCGGTAGGAATTATTTTATAGTTGAAAATTCTGTAAGAATATAGTAAAAATCTAATTGTATTTAACTATTATTTTATGCATATAATTTAGAATTATATTGATTTAAATACGTTATTATTCGAAATTGTATAAATAAAATAAAATCGACGAATTTTTAAAAAAAAATTAAGACGTAAGTGGTCCCCTTATTATGTTTGATAAACCTTTTAATTTTTTATAAAATAATAATAATAAGTTTTAGAAATAATATTATAAATAATCGGGGAAAATGTCCTACTTTCTATAGGTTTATTAAAATGTCAAAAATAATGAAAAACGTTTTTCTACTCGGCAGGGAATCAATAACCCAATAAGGTCATGGCTCTTTGGTAGTTTTTTCACTATTTTCTATAATAAATCAACATTTTAAAATTTTATATTTTGAATATTATACTTTTAATCGATATTTTTCAGAAAATGTTTCATTATTTGCAGTAGCAAAACAACTGGACATGTATAAATATCATGTAGGTACTCATTTATTGAGAATTCACCTAAGATAGAGGATACTATATATTATTATTATTGGATTTGAAATAAATTGAAGAAATAACAAAGAAAAATAGTTATTTGATTGTGTGTACAAACTATAGACAGTTGACTTTGTATTATTCTTAATACTTATTTGATTATAAATTTGATAAAAATTATTTAATAAAAATATTTTGATATGAAATACGAATTTGATGTACAGGGTGATTCGCCCAACTTCTTCAGTTATTTAAAATATGATTTTTGGAATTTTTAAATATACTTAATTAAAGACCATATTTTTAAATTCTTTATATTTTTTTACTGCTTGTAAGGAGTACCTACATTGTGGATATCCAAACTACTGTTTTTCTAAAAAAAAATGATGCATCATTATCTAAATTCGAAAAAGTAGTTTTTGAGTTATTGAATTTTGTGTTCTATGGATAAAAGGTCTATGGTAACGGGTTTACAAGAATGGGCTTATAATAATTTGATAGTGAATGATAGTTTTAGTCATTAATATTAATATCAAATGATTTTTTTTGTGAAAATGTCGATATTATAATAAATACTAGTTCCAATAATATGACGTGTTTTTTATATTTTTGTAAAACCATTTTTAAGGACTAATATCTTTAGTGCAATCATTTTAATAAAAAAAACTACTCATTCGAAATTTAGGTTCATCAAAATACACAGTATTGTTTTATGCGATATCCACTAAATAATGTACAGCAAAAAGAGGGATACTCATTTGAAAAACTGAAGTTTGTATCGCCTTAGTATACGACTCATATGTAGTACAAAACAATTCGAGAATTTGAAAGGTTTGTCGGAGTATATATAAAAATTCCGAAAAAGAATTTGAATAGTTTTATCGTAAAAGGAAAAAAATGGGAGTGTGAAATGTGCATGTTTGGTGTATCATCCTCTTTATATTTGTATACATATAATAAGACGGTTTTCTTTTAATAGTGTCTCATGAGTAGGAAGTAGCTGATATATTATGTTTAGTTTTAGAATAATACATTAATATAAAAATAAAAATAATAACCTCTTGTAAGATTTAAGGACTTTCTTCTTTAAACACATTGATATTATATAAGAATGTGTTAAATAAATAATTACAATTTCACCATCAATACTTATATAAGTAGATATACAAACTATAAAAACTAAACATTAAACAATAAGGTATAAATAAAATTGAAAAGATTAATTTTAAGATAAAAATACTTATATAAGTTAATGTTGGAAAAACTTTTCAAACTATAGTAATCAATAATAGTATGCTTCTGAACTTTTGTTGCTTACTTTTAATGGTCAAAAGTATTAAAAACATTATTTAAAACTAATAATAAACACTAAACATAATTTTTTTTGACACATTAAAAGTTTTTAGTTAAAAATTGTGTAAAATATTTTATTTTCGTTCCATATCAAAATCTAATGTAAGTACCTACATTTAAAATAATTTGACTTTTAAACATTTCATTTAGTTAATTCTTATATCTGGAGCATGTTGGATAATTATTATTTACAATCATTTATAGTAAACTATAATTTAAATTTAAACATGTCACAAACAATCTGTCACCTATATAGAAATTTTTTTTTTTTATTGAACTATAGCAACTATGGCTATTAGCTGTTTGTGGGGGGGGGGGTCGGTTGATTTTAGAATAGTTATTATATGTGTGGCAAGGATTTTGTTGCTAAGAATCAAGGATGGTCACCCATCGGGGAGCTAGCAACGCCACCCGGTACATACACTCAGAGCGTTTCCGCAGATTGGGAGCTTCCCTGAGCCACCTATAGTAATTGAAATTCGTTTATTAAAGCATTGTGTTACTGTCATCTTTTAAAATCATCGCATATTCGATTTAATTGCTAAAATATAGGTACGATGACGTGTTCAGTATTTGAGGATTATTTTATGATGGTTTATAATATTTAATAAGCCGGTAAATCATAAATAATTTATAATAGCACATGGAAATGTTATAAGTTATAACTAATAGAAGATATAACTTTCGTAGTTACATACCGATATTAGGTGAGGTGAAACAGTAAAAATCGAGTAATAAATCTGAATTGCATGCACATTTATATTTACTATTTATGCTGAAGATCAGGAAGTGTTTAATTTGTGATTTTAATATATATATATATTTCCCTACTCTTTTATTATTGAAATTTGAAGAGTTTACGATATGTGAAATAATATATCAAACAAATAATAAAGATTAATTAAACTATTTTATTATGTATCGTAGTGTCGCGTATTGTGGTCCTCGAAATAATTTTATTAATATAAAATGTATATTTACCTTTCACTGGCAATGGACGAATTCCTAGACATGGACTTTGGTGACACTTCGAAATCGGAGTCAGACCTGTACAAGAACGACTCCCGACGCTGTGGCAAATTTTGAAGCACCAGACCCGCAGACGGGGATGTGCCTCCACCGTCCAGTGGTGATCTACCAGGACTTGTACCAGCTCCATTTTCCACATCAAAACTACAACAAATAATTTAAGACGTTACAACAAGTTATACTCTTTAAAAAATATATTATATTCTTCAGGTAGATAATAAAATACACAAACACTTTTAATAAATGGATTGTTTTTAATTTTTATAATATACAAATATATAGTCAGATCTCTATTATGATTGACCAATATTTAAATATTTGGTTGTTATTATAACAGAGTAGTCAACAATTGAATATTTTTTTTTTGTTTTAAACGCATCAATTCGATCGATCGTGAAATCGATTCGATGAAACCCTGTTCAAATACACGTCCATCTATATTTTCACTGTTTGGAAATTGTATGTGATTGCACTACAAACACACAGGATATTAAACATAAACAAGTTTATTAAACATAAATATTTACTTTCTTTACCGAGTTAAAGAAAGAAAAAAGAACAAATATGAAGGCTCTCCGAAGAATATTTTATGTGTCAACAATATGCCAACTTCTCTTTTAAACCTTATTCGTTTATATATTATATTATATCTTTGCTGAAACGTTTTCAAAATCTATGTCATTTATACACACACTATTATACAGCAAATGCAGTTAAAGTTCTAGATAAATTTACTTAAAAGTGCAGGATGGAATCTCCAAGGAATCTAAAACCCTTTTGAAGTTTTGTCTGTTCTTTTACAATACATGTATAGTACAATTTTAAAAATATATACAATGTCAGGAATTCCGAGTTTTTCTTAGAATTATGTGTAACTTCCTATTTTATTTTTATTTACGATTCATTATTCAATAAATTGAAAACACATACGACTTTTTTAAAAGTTTAAACTCATTTTATAATTCACATCAATAAATTTATAAACTGAATCAATCATTTTTAATAAATAATACCTACTTCAATTTCAATATAATTGTTGTCTCATAATAATAGTGAAACCTCCCTCAGTAAACTTAAACAAATATTTAGCAATACCTCATACATTTTTCAGTTCATTTTTGGAACTGTCAAGTATATAGTTATTAAATATGACAATCAAAATTAATAACATCAGCTATTGATTTTTAAACAACGTCAGATAAAGATACGCTCTTATACTTTTTATTATTATTACTATTTTTTTTTATCTTAAGTTGACGTACCTAACGAAAAACTATTGATTCAGCATTGTTCGTCGCTAAAGAACAGATTTTCTCGAAGAATAGAGAAACCATATATATAAAAATATAAAAAGAGCTTAAAGGCTAATGGAAATGATGAATTTAAGGGAAGTTGTGTAGCAATGATAAATTACAGTATAAAGATAAAGGACGGAGACTGAACAATAAGCTAAATATATTCTAAATATAATCCATATTGACTGATGTAGGTATTAATAAAAATAATTAATTTACACTAATTATCTATGCATCGCTTATTTGAAATGGATTGTTAATGTGAGCAATTTATGATAATATTCTAGTAATATAAGATTTTACTTAACTTTCAATTATTTATACATTAAAAATGACCGAATGAGGGGCTTCAAAAGGCTTCAAAAGTATAACTATGTGGGTTCGTGTTTACTGTAGGATAAAGAAGGTTATGTAAACATGGTAAAAAGTGGCATGATGATTTTGGAATTATCAAAAAGGACCTACAGTTGACGGTTTGAGTGTTAGCAAACATAAATTATTTGACTGGACAAAATGTCTTTGATGTTCTTTAGTGTTTACAATGTGTAAGCTTTACACACTATGCAGGGAGTGTAAGAATTTTTGGATCAAAAATGCATTGAAATATTTTGAATAAAAAGAAACATCAAGATTTATCCACGTTAAATATTTGTAGTTATATGCTCATCGTTTGTAATAGTATGATCCAAAGTATAATGTATATATATATTATATTATTTATACATATATGTAGCTATGAATCATATATATATATATTATTACTCGCGTTTGTTAACAAAAGTATGATAACTATTTCCACCTTGAAAATATAATGTATTCAGTTATATTATACATAAATTAAATAGCTACGAGAGTTTTTTGTAGAAAGCGATGAATGAAGAATTTGTTTTATACGCATATACACTGATTTAAAAAAAAATATATACAATTTGTAAAATATAATATAGATTAGGGGTATCAATTGCAAAATAAAAATATTGATTCAAAAACATAAACAATTTTGGCACTTCGCATGGATTTATCCTTATCTAATTCATTACAATAAATATCATTTAACGAACAATTTGTCCTTATGGAAGTATATTATAGATAAACGTCGTAAAAGTATAAGACATCACGTCACACAGGTACCATTACTTTTTAACCGTTACTAAACGTAAACAGATGCTGAAAAAGTACAAAATACATGCATTCTATATTCCTATGCGTCTATCTTAGAGTGGAAATACGAGTACGTGCATCGGTTCAATATTACATGTCTCGTATAATGCTGTAATATTGTATGTTCACTTCACATAATTCAAATTTAAATAGATTTTTATTTGTGAAAAATCGATTTAATATATTTAGATGACTTCAAAGCTAATTTGAATAATATTTCAAGTTTAATCTAGAACCGAAACTCTTAAAGTTATAAAATATAATGAAACGCATTTAAGGAATATATTGCATAATATTATACACAATATTTATAATATGAAAAAACAAAAATTGAACTCATAATACTTTTTGATAAACAATTTTTGGTTTGAAATATTTTATAATTTCGTGTACACTATAATATTATTATACCACTAACAAAGATAAAATAAAAGTATCACACATTTTTACATCCGTACAAACTTGAGTATATGTTTTGTTGGGCACAGAAAATACACAAGAACATTTACAAAAACCTCGTTCCTGGATTCTCCCTTTAATTAAACTAAATTATACGTCCATGTCTGTTATTCGAGACAAGAATTATACAGTACCCGCCTTTATTAAAGGTTAAAGCCAAATTACGCAAAAAAAAAAACACAATCAGTTCAAGCATCAAGTTGTATTATTCTATTTAAATAAGGCAATTATAGTAATAATGTTATTTCCCATATTTTCAATACGGTTTCCGTAGATGTGCATCTAGTGCGTTTGATTTTGTTCACATCTAAACTTTATTTTCGCTTTGATCACTAATATAATGATAAACATTCTAAACATGTAATTTTTTCTCCTTAACATTAAAATATATTTTAGTATTTTTATCTGCGATGTCAAACACTTAACTTTTAGACATTGGCTGTACATAATATTATTATTATAAGGTACAAAAATATATTATAGAAACATCTCAATATAAGTGTGCATTTTTTTTTTAATAATAAGATATTTGTGGAAGATTTTAATAAAGTATTTTTCCAATTATTTTTTGACATTTTTCCAATCTGCAAGATGAATATATTTTACAAAAATAAAAGCAAAATCAATAAATGAAAACATAATCAAATTTCCCAGTGTAAACAGTCATAATAACAGCTGTCAATTGGTAGCTTAAGTATAACTGTCTACAGACTACCGTGCTGAAAATTGGAATATAATCTGTGTGCAATGATAATTTAAAATTCCTTTAAAGTATTCACATGCATTAAAGCATGATTTTAATTAAAAGTATCCCATTAGAGCAGTAGTGATGCAAAATGGCAGGTTTAGGACCCCTGTGATATGATTAAAGTCTATGGCAATATAGAATAACTAAAAAAAGTGTTAACTCACTGAAATCTCATTTTAATTAAAAATAATTGTTTATTACTCATAGATACATACATTTGAAAATGTATGTACAATAGTATTAATATTTGATAATAATATTCATTTATATACATTTTATCATAATCAAGCTTGTTATATAACTTCAGATTTTTTTACTGTGTTGTGAATAGTTATACATCTAATAATTTAACAAACAATTAGACACAATACAATTAAAAATGTTTAACCCAGTATTCCAGTTAAAATTATTTATTTTTCTGTAGGAACTGCTAACAATAAATTGAGTTTATTTTTCTTTGAAAATTAATTTTGGTAATTTGGTATTCTATTAAATAATGATGCCTTGTATTTTTAACATAAAACAGTAAATAATTTATACATCGGATCTCTGATGAACATAAAACGATTTATGCCTAGCAAAATGTGTTGTATATAAACAATGTGATTGCCAACTGTTTGGGAATAGTTATTAAATTATATGTTTCCGCTGAATGCATGTAATATTAACAAAAAAATGAAGTCCGGAAGATGTGAAAGAGAAAAATGAAAAGCAGAAAAAAGGCTTTTAAAAGCCGCTTTAATGAGAGTAGAATTCTCTTAATGGATTTGAAATGGCTGCGGAGAAGAAGAAAAAGGACGAATATTTTACTACCCCATTTTTTTTTACCACATCCTTGTCCGAAATACCCCCAACGAGCAGAAGGTTCAATTTTTTCCATTATTTTACCATAAAAGCAACTTTTCATTATTTCCCCCGGAAACAAGAGAAGATGTGTCTGTTCAAAAGAAATGGACTAAACATTTTTGTTCGAGTGTTTTTTTTTTTACAAGGAGAGTTTAGCTTCGTTGTAGCCCGTTGACGAGAATCTTAAGCTAATGTACACATTTAATTTAGTTAACTTTAATAATAAAATGTCACACTTATAAATTGTATGTTTAGGGTACAGTAATGCTTAATAAAGTTTTGTAACTTTTAGTGCAAAAAAATATATTTAATAAACGGACAAAAATCAATAACACCTTTTATAATTTATAATTTAAATCGCTTCATAGAGTTTAATGATTATAAAAACCAAATTATTTCCTATAAAACTCCAATACATTTAAATTAATTATTTATATGGGAAAATAATAAATTATGTTATAAAAAAAAAAAAAAATGCCAATGCACTGTTGGTAATAGGTATATTAGTGTCAAATTTACCTCGTCTTTGAGTTAGAAACGGTAATGGATATGTACAATTTGAGTTTAAAAATAAATCATTGTATACAATGAATAACGATTCCGATTGGAGATGGTTATAGGCTATATTATGTCTT